TCCTGAGATGGTCTACATCAAGCATGTCAAACTCACGGCTCATGGGCTACAGCCGAGGCCTGCGAGTTTGACATGCTTGGTCTACATGCACACAAGCACTGAAGCATCGTTCTACTTTAAAAAAAAAAAATTTATTATTGACTGATTTGAGAGAAAGAGAGAGAGAGAAACATCAATTTGTTGTTCCGCTTATTTCTACATTTATTGGTTGCTTCTTATATGTGCCCTGCCCAGGGATCCAACCCACAACCTTGGTGCATTGAATGACGCTCTAACCAACTGAGCTACCTGGCTGGGCAGCACTGTTCTGCTTTTAACTTAAGGAGGACACCACCATTTTTTAAATGGCCCACCACGCTAAGTCTCTAGGGGCCCAAGAAAGTGCCATCCTTTTATTCCTAAAATTACTTACTGAAGAAGTTAACAGGGAGGAGAAATCTCCCCAACATGACTGTCTGTAAGTTTCATTTCTTTTTTAATCTTATTTAGGTTCCATTCTGTGGGATCAGAAGACAAATGAAAACCAACAGGGTTGATGACAATAGTCATGAATATCACTTCACTGAAACCTTCATTTTGCCGTAAATGGCTGGTTATAGATATAGAACACTGTACAATCAATGCTTGCTTTTCAGAGATTAGATGCTAAAGAAGTCCCTTTGAGAATATTTCACTGAAATAGGAGGGTCTTGAAATGCATGTAAAAGCACGTTAGGGCTGTCCATTTCCCAAGTGATTTGCAACAGCACAGGGCAGAATGCTGCAGTATCCCTCTGCCCTCAGTACTGCGCTAAGTCCTATTCTTCTGTCATTCCTGAGAAAGGCCTGAGAAGACCAGGCCTGGGCAAAAAGTGAAAATGTTTCCCAACATTTTAAACAAAAAGCCTGGAGGGGAGCTCACCAGGGCAGGCAAGAGAGAGACGGGGTCCAAGCTCAAGGCAAGAGAGAGGAGGCTGGCAGGCCTTGAGCTGGTAACTGTGGGAAGGGGACCACACTGTCCATGGGGGCGGGAGAGATAACAAGACTAAAGAAATGCACCTCAAAATGGAAAAACTAAGGAGCCCAATGAGACTATGCAGAAAGCTCAGCAGGGCAGTTTGTCCGGAAAATGGATAAAACCAGTATGTAACAGCTGTGTTTTATGCCAGAAGCCCAAAAATAGTTGAGAATGTGTGGGATTCAGAACTGATTTTCTCCTCAGTCAATGGCAGTAGAGGGCTCTGGGTGGTACTGGAAACATATAGATCTAGTACAGTGATGGTGAACCTTTTGAGCTCGGTGTGTCAGCATTTTGAAAAACCCTAACTTAACTCTGGTGCCGTGTCACATATAGAAATTTTTTGATATTTGCAACCATATTAAAACAAAGATTTATATTTTTGATATTTATTTTATATATTTAAATGCCATTTAACAAAGAAAAATCAACCAAAAAAATGAGTTCGAGTGTCACCTCTGACACGCGTGTCATAGGTTCGCCATCACTGATAGTATAAGCATCAGAGTATATTTTTGCTGCTCTTCATCTTGTAGCATTTATTCTTTATCATTTCAAAGACATCCTAATTACTTCCTAAACTGAGGTACTACAAATCAAGGTGCCTGTTTGACCATCTTCATGAAATGTTATCACATCTAACTTTTATTGCAAAGTGACTGATTTTTCAGTGCACCTTCATTTAATGAACTTTTGGATGATATGATTATAGGATGAAAAAAATCTGAAACACTAACAGTGAATTAAACTTAATAGTCATCAAAATAGCTTGTAAAGCCCCAGTGCACATAGAGAACAGTGTAGTTTACAAGCTACTGGCAAAGGATGCTGGATCTTTCTGCTTGCCAGCCAAAGGCACAGCCTTGTGCCAACTGCATAAATGCAGTTTCTAATTCACTTAGCTAACCATATTTAAAATTTATGTAATTCTAAAACGAATATTCTTTCATTTTATATATTTTTGAGGTATGACATTCATTCAACATTGTATTAGTTTTAGGTGTTCAACATAATGATTCGATATTAATATATACTGTGAAGTGATCACCACAATAAGTCTAGATAGCATCCATCACCATACATAGTTACAGAATTTTCTTTCTTTCTTTTTTCCAGAATTTTTTTTTCTTGTGATAACTTTTAAGACTATTCTCTTAGGAACTTTCAAATATGCAATATAATATTATTAAATATAGTGGCTATGCTGTACATTACTTCCTTAGGACTTGCTTATTTTATAACTAGAGGCCAGGTGCATGAATTCATGCATGGGTGGGGTCCAGCTGGCCCACCCAGATCAGGACCGATTTGGCCCAGCCAGCCGGAGGGAGGGGCTATGAGTGGTTACTATTAGCTGGCCGGCCCTGCCCCCTGGTCAAACTCCAGGCTGAACTCCCGGTGGAGGGGCAATTTGCAATATTAGCCTTTTATTATATAGAACTGGAAGATTATACATTTTGACTCACCCATTTTGCCCATTCCCTACCCCCCTACCCCCCACCTCTGGCAACCACCAACCTATTCTCTGTATGTCTGAACTAAAATTAATTTTCTTGCTTTAGGGGAGTCACAGTATTTCCAATATTTTTATATAAGAAGAGGCTTTGTTACTACTCATATCATGTTATCTTATTTAAATGATTTATATTTGCATTACATGAAATCATATATTCATTAGCATGTGCCTTCATTAACTTCTTAGTAGAGATTTTATGTGGAAAATGCACGCTTTGCCTTCCCTCTTTTCTGTTCACATCTTACCTATCATTCTGTTCTCTCCCTGGGTGATCTCCTCCAGTCTCTTCATTTTAAATATCATCTGCATTTGGATGATTCTCAGAGGTACCATTTCCAGCCCCAGGCAACTCTAGATCTTTACAAGGGTATCAGGTGAACATCTTAAATGTAATATATCCCAAACAAAACTCTTAGGGTCCCTTAAACCTTCCTCTTTGTTCCCCATCTCAATAAACAGCAACACCATCTTCCCCAAAACACCAATTCATCCTTGACTCCTCTTGCTCACACCCACACCCAATCCAGCAGGCTCTCCCTTCAATATATCCTGACCTTCACCACTTCACATCATTCTAGAACCACCACACCAATCTAAGCCATGCCTGGACCACTAGAAGGGCCTCCTGGAGGCTACACTGATTCTACTCTTGCCCCCTAAGTCTATTCTTCACTCAGGACCCAGAAAAATCATTGTGAAGCACAAAAAGGATCACATCACTAGATTACTCAAACATCTCCAGTGGTATCCAATCACGTTTAGAGGAAAATCCAAAGTCCTTATCATAGCCTACAAGATCTGGCTCCCACCTACCACTGATCTCATTCCATACCACTCTCCCTTCTTATAACTACCCCGCAGCTCAAGGCCAACCAAACTGGCCGCCTTCCTGGTCCGCTATCATGCTGAGATCCACCATCATCAAAAGCCTCTCTTTTAGCTTGCTATTCCCTCTGCCTAAACACTCCTCCCTAGATTCCTTCACTCCATTCAGATCTCTGCACAAAATCTCTCCTCCTCTTTCTCCCTGCCCCCACCCCACACAAGCCTTTTCAGACCAGTCTTTCAATAATAGCCCCATCCAGCCACTCACTTTGTCTTCTTTTTTACATCACTTATTACTACCCGACATATTACCTATTGAGTTATTTCATTCATAAAACAATATTTAGTGAGCACCCATCAAGAGCAAGGTGCTCTTCTCAGAGCTGGAGATACAGCGGTGAATGAAATGAGCAGACTTCTGCCCCAGTGGAGCTCACATTCTTGTTTGTCACCCTCTCTCAGATCTAAGCCCCAGGGAAACATGCACACAGTCTGTCTCCAGTGCCCAGAGCGGTGCCTTGGCACAGAGAGGGCATTAACACATGTTTGCTGAATGGGTAAAGTGTCCCACCCACCCGAGGACATCTGCTCCCCTGGGGACTCCCATCCCAGAGCCTTCCTGCCTACCAGATGGGACTCCAGTTATACGGGGCCCAGAATGTCCACCGTGTCCCTTTAGACACAGTAATCTGGACAATCAGCTTTTCAAGTCTGAGATGGGTCCCTAACCCCAGGCCTGCCTGTCCCAACTGCCTGCCCTTCCTTCCCGCTCCAGCGCCCAGCACCCTGCAAGCTCCCCAGGTGGTCATGCCACTGGGGTCTGTCTCACAGGGACACAAGAGCACCTGGTCCACATGGAGGGAGCTGACCAGGCAGTCAGCATCAGACAAGCCAGCTTTCCACAAAAGAGAGTGTCTGGAATCGCATAGCACAGGTCAACCTGCCTCCTGGCTCCTCCACAGCTCACACAGGACCTTCCACATCAGCTAGCCGGCGGGCCTCAAAGCGGCCTCCCCTCAGCTTTGGAACACACTATTGCTAAGCACATATCTTCGCGTCTTTCAACTGCACAGAGGCAAAACGTTTACTGTTGTAATGAGTAAATCAGTTTCTTTCCAAAAAGGAAACTCACAGCCCCCTTTTCATTTGTAAACTGTGAAATTATCTGATTGCAAATAAAAATAAAGGTAACACTGAAATGTAATTAATTTGTCTTTTTAAAAAAACACAGCAGCTATGGTGGTAGAAAGAAAAAAGAAAAGAAATGCAAATCTTTGAAAGTCTGTAAGTCTCAGAAAATAGGTATTTACAATTCACATTTTCATCATGTATTCATGTTTTATTTGTTAGCTTAGAATTGCCCTGCCAAATAGGATTACCTTATATTTGCCAAGCATTTTATTCCCTCGGAAGTGTTCTCACTTAGGCAATCTCTTTTAGCAGGGCAGGATTCATTTCTGTCTGGAGCCCAGAGAGGTCCAACAATTCACCTAACATCCCACAGTAAAAGTGGCAGAACCCAGTAGGTACCAGAAGCCAGATATGCTGAGGTCCAGCCCTCCTTTCCTTCCATAATAGAAAGGACAGTGTTGTTCCCTGAAAATCACATCCTATCGCCCACTGAAAATATTTCCCTTCACTGCAGAAGAAAAACACACATACATTCACCAGTGGTTTAGGGCGATGGAAAGATGCATTGGTCCTGGAGCTCTGGGTAGAGAGAGGGTTTCACAGACTCTTCCGACAAATGCTGCGTCCTGCAATGACAAACATACAGATCATCTGGTATGAATCAGGCACCTGTGGCCTCTCTCCAAAGAGGCCACCAAAACACCAAGGCCCCCTGTTAGACTCAAAGCTCCCCCTACCCTCCTCTTCCAGCCCACTCCCTTCCCATTCTGACTTCCCCGGTAGAACAAGAATCTTCAGTTCACCAGCTGAAATGGTCCCCTTTAGAATCACTGGATCATGCAGAAAGAAGCACTAGAGGTCATGTACAATGGGAGCACAAAGTGAAAGCCCAGTGGATCACATATAGCCTGTACTGGCATTACATTGAATTACAGGGTATGTTTAGAAAATGCAAGCCAAGCTAAAAAGTCAGAGACATCATAAAACCCAGACTTCTGGAACCAAGACCTCTGGCTTCTCTTAAAAAAAAAAAATCAGAGGATCTCAAAATGGGCTCATATTCGTGTCTGAACATGATCAGCTGATGCTAAGTAGTAGCTGCCCTTCATAGGCAAGCTTGGTTATCCCAATGCCACAGTCCCCATCACTCCCTAGTGTCTCAACACAGAGAAGAGCTGGAATTGTAATTTACAGAGAAGAGCTGTAATTGTAATATCACTGCCCTTGCATTACTGTTTTTCTTGTGGTACAGAAATATTTCTCTCTACCTATGATTTTAACAAAAGTGGGAAAACAGAAGAAAAGGGGGCTGTGAATTCCAAGAGGAAAATGAATGGTAGAGCACATATAGCAACTTAAGTTAGTAAGCTCACTCCTGTAGACATTCGCAATCCCTGAACAAGTACAACCACTCCCATTTTATAATGTAAAGCAGGAAACTGACTTGCCCACTGCCCCGGTTAAGGGTAGAGCTAATTCTAGAATCTAGGTCTCTTGACTGCCAATCCACAAACTTTCACTATGCCCCATTGCATAGCAGTCTTATATTATGAAGCCAAAAAAATAAATATTATATAGACAGATAATAGATAGATAGATAGAGAGGGGAGGGAGGGAGAGAAAGAGAGAGAGAGAGAGAGAGAGAGAGAGAGATCTGTGTGTGTGTGTGCATGCGTGTGTGTGTGTGTGTCTCAAAGCTAATACTAAATTCAAGGAAATACATTAGAAGTATCCACTTTGTACTAAAATGCTCTCCATACCTTCATTTGTAAAAAATAAATAAATAAATAAGAGTAAATGCTATCAGGTTCCCTAAGGGTTTGTGTTTCTGAATGTGAAATTTTCAATAATTTTGCTGCTTTAAGTACAAAAATAATTATCACAAATACAATGCATCTACTACTTCAAAAGTGTTCAGTTAATGTCCGAAACTGTCTAAAATATATTCTTTATGCTAGAAAAATTCCCCTTTACAAGGCTATAAATAAGCTTACATGCAAGGTACTAGCACTGTAATAAGTGAATGATGTTCACAACTAGAAGCCCTTGGTGGGAGTTATTTATATCATCCCTCAACGGATGTATTGATTCATTCACTCAGCAGGTATTTACTGAGCCTGTTACACGCCAGGCAGTGTGCAAGGTGACTGAGATACAAAGATGAACAGGCCCCAGTCCTTGCCCTTAAGTTGCTCTGTCTGGGTAAAAGACGGACCCAGACACTCGGAAAGAATTTGAAAACAATGGGTAACTGTAAAGACCTGCGCAGGCACCGTGTTATGGGAGCACTGAGCAGGGCTTCCAGTGCAGCTGAGGTGAACAGACGCCTCCCTGCATGGACAGAGGCCTGAGGAAGCCCTAAGCAGGGATGGGAGTGGAGCAGGCAGGCAGCAAACTGAGGGGAAGGTGAGAATTACAGGTCATAGGACAACATGGGCAAAAGCAAGGACGACAGCAGCCCCTCCAATGAGGCCTAGTCCAAATTTCACATGACCGCAGAGGTCTTAAAAAGCCCTGCCATGCCTGGCCAATGTTGCTCAGTGGTTGAGTGTCAACCTATGAACCAGGAGGTCACAGTTCAATTCCTGGTCAGGGCACATGCCAGGGTTTCAGGCTCGATTCCCAGTAGGGGCCATGCAAGAAGCAGCCAATTTTTTTTTTTTTTTAAAGCCCTGCCTTATGCCACATGCCCCACCTCACATCTGCTGAGGCTCAATGTGCAGCCCTGCATGTGCACCCTTGGAAATTTATCTCGACAGGTGCCCTTATGAAGAGTGTACCCGCTCCATGGCAATGCAACCAGTGCTATCCCAGGGTCTGCAGGGCCGAAGAAATAAGGTCCTTGAGAAGACAGTCAACACTGTCTTCCCCTGTGCCAGTCACAACATGGTCCTGTCTCCAGCCGAGGGCCTGGGTTTCCAGGGCCAGAATCTACTATGCAGTCAAGCCTCAAGCAGGAGGTTTTATGAGAAAGTGTCCCAGGAGGAGTTGTCCTGTTCTTCATGGATAAGAGAGAGGAGGCATCACTCCTGACCTAGGCTGAGGCAAAACGAGGGGTGGGTATTGAGAGTGGGGATAGCATCCCCCAAAGACAAGCTTTTGGAAAGGGGTATAAATAGGAGTGAAGACCAAGTACATGGCCATGGTCAGAGCTCAGTGTTCAAGGCCAGGACAAGGAAACAAGCAGGCAGAATTCACTTGAAAAGTGAGAAGAGCTTCCCTAGATCTCTAACTGACAAGCTCTTGTCTCTAAAAAAAATGTCCTGGGTCCCAGACCCATCAAATCAGAGTCTCTGATTTGAAGACCGAAGAATTATTCAGGTGATTCTGGTGCCCAGACTCTGGTACCCATTTGGAAAAGGGTATCTTTCACTCCTTAAGCTCATTAATTCAGCATCCCCGAGGCAGTATTCAAGGGTCCAGGCTTTGAGGGAGTTAAACATTCTTAGTACATTTTATCCATTCCCTACATCACATTATGACAACCATCACCTACTAGTAACTCCTTTTTATTTTAAGTAAATAAAAATACATAAAATGACAGCAGCCAGGATGCAAACTAGGTAAGTGAAGGCGGCCTCCTGTACCCAATGCCAATGCCTCCAGATAAACTACTGGAGTTGTCCAGACTCGGCACAGACTGAGCCCTCATACACCTGTGCAGGCTCACCCTGGCAGAACAGAGGGTCTGGGAGCACTCAGTCAGCAAGGTGGCCTTCTAGGAACAGCTCTAAGGCACACAGCACTCAGAGCAGGTCCTTCCTGCCCACAGAGTAGGACACTGCCGATCAATGCAGTGCCTGGAAACCCGCCAAGCCAGCTGAGCACTTCTCTTCCCAGATTTCCACTTTGTGGTCAAGTAACAACCTGAGCAATCTCAAGCCAAAAATGGCAAAGTAAATGCTGTGGACCACGAAGATGACAGATCGGAGTAAGCTGGTTCCTTGAATGGACCAGCCTAGAGAGATCCCTTCCCTGACATCACCGGATGCTACCGGGCAACCTTCAGACAGCCCAGTGCCAGAGAAACCAATGGCTGACCAAGGTCAGCCTTCCTAATGGCAACAATGCACAATGTCCTTCACTAGGATGAGAGTCCCCTTCAACTTGAGGGTTCTTCACTTGAGTCATAATGCAAATTTGGAAGAGCATGGGTGGGCAGGAGGTCTAGGAAAAGCTCAGGATACTAACTGACCACTTCTGGTGGTCCTCAACTTTTAGAAGACCCATTATTCCCTACAGAACCATTATAAACTTGCCTACAACAAGACCTCTCTCTCTCTCTCTCTCTCAATCATCCAAAAGAAATCACAAGAGTTGCTCCAGGCCTTACCAACTACCTTGAACCATTACCTACCTACCTCATCTATATCCTCATCTCTACCCCATCCCAAGAATAAAGGACAATACAAGAGGCAGTGAAAGTCACCTTAGCCACCTTTGTTCCTACCAAACATCAATCCAGACCATCCTATCAGCTCTGGACCAATGGGGGCCTCTCTAGTTAAATATCCTCACAGACCATGCACCACTCCTTCATGGCACAAAGCACCTACTCATGCTTGCCTTTTTGTTGTTTTTGATGTTTTAAGGGGTCTTTTGTTTGACTGGCTAATCACTGTATCCCAATACACTTCCTTCAAAACCTCCAGGTTGTTTGAAGAATATACCTCAAATTTCATGTCTCCCAGCCAAAAGATGATCGAGCCAACCCATTCCCCAACTCCTTAGTCTTGCCACTAGCCTCTGAAACCTAAGCAGCCACTAATTAGTCCACATATTTAGTGAACTTTATGAAGGACTCTGTTTAGAAAGCTAGTGTAGAATTGGAGAAAATCCCCAACGGATCCTGAGGCTAACCAACTCAGGAAGGAAACAAATCAGAGTAATTATCTTTTTATTTCTTTTGTGCAATTTTTTTTTTAAATCACACTGCATTATTTAAAGATAACCTTCTAGTATATGCAAAATACACTTTTTTTTTTTTTTTACCTTGAAGAGCACTTCCCTATTTCCCAGAAGCAATCTCATTGGGGCCATGTCCAGCGCCACATCCTCAGGACTTGAATGACGTTGAAGCTTCCAAGGTGCTCAATGCCAAGGTGGCTCAAGCATCTCTCGCCTCTGGTTCCACTGACCAGCTGTCCTCCCTTCACACCCCTTGGCAGCGGAAAGTGGGTTTGGAGGAGCTTTTTAAAGTTCTCCCACCCACTCCACAAATTCAGTAGGAGGGAGAATGAATGTTTCCAAGTTTGCTGAATGACTCGGAAGTTCATAAAGTAGAATAAAATTAGTTAAAAAATAGGAAAATAATTTTTAGCTCCCCTTTAAAAAAAAAAAAAAAGCACGCCTACTTTAAATGATTCACAGTGACTTCATAGTTTCTTCCTCCCAGAGCTGGTGGTTCCCTCCCTCTTTCCCTGAGCAGCCCCTGCGCTCCTTCCCTCAAGGGCCTTTGCATTTGCTAGGCTCTCTGCCTGCAAAGCTCTAAATTAGAATGTTTGATTCTTTTTTAAAAAGCCAAAGATTTTACCTTTTAAATATTCTGGATTTGTGGCTTCTCCTTAAAAATACCAAGACCTGGTAACACTGGGCCTTAAGGACCACATCTGGTGGAGCTGGGTAG